CAACTCCGCCACTCCCCACCTCCCGCCAAGAACAGGTTTGGCGTCTCGGCTCTGCCTCTGCATTTGCCCAAGTCCCGCACCTCGCAGTTATTTGTGAAAAAGAAAAGCTTAGCCAGATTTTTCCGTGGAGGAGAATCAGGCATTAGGAACCTGGGTTCCGGTAGCCCCGTGTCCTTGATTTAGACTCTCGGAGCTGCTTTTATTTTCAGTAACATGATGTAATGTCTTTCCTGCCTTGACTTATAAAAAACTAAGCGACAGATCGTTCAGAGGCATCTTGAAAACATTACTAATCGACTCCACGAAACAGTACTACTTAGAATTAAATTGTGGTGCATGGTGGCAGGTATTTAGGCCTTGTCATTCTAAGAGCCTTTCTCAGTACCTGGAAATGTTTTCCAGTGTGTTCTTTCAAACAGGCAGGGCAGCTGATACTCTTATTTGATAGATAAAGGGGCAGATAGATGAAAAGATTTTTTTCACACTATCTGACACAGTGGTGTGGCCGGAATTAGAAAGACCTTCCAGACAGTGCCTCCAGAAAGGGTGTCACAAGAGTGAGGACACCTTGTCCTTGTCAAAGCCAGTAAAGCCTACAGACGGATTCAAACATACGAAGGAGACATTTTCTTTTCACATTTGCTTTTTCCGGGGCAATGTTGGCTTGAGTACATGGAGGTATATACTTAATTTCTTCCCACCTCCCAAAATACTAATTTTATATGGTGTTTTCGCAGCATATAAAGTGCTTTCATTTGTTATATCATTCAATCATCAAAACAGTTTTCTGAGATGTACATCCGGTATGAGGAGAAAAATGAGGTTCACAGATGTTACTTGTGGAAGGATTAACAGCTAGCTGAGCTCAAATGGAACTTAGCTCTTTTGATTCCAGAATCTTTGGTCTGTGTTTGTTTTGTTTTTTTATTTTTTTAATGTTTATTTATTATTCAGAGACGGAGCGTGAGTGGGGAGGGGCAGAGAGAGAAGGAGACACAGAATCTGAAACAGGCTCCAGGCTCTGAGCCGTCAGCACAGAGCCTGAGGAGGGGCTCGAACTCACAAACCGCAAGATGGTGAGCTGAGCCGAAGTCGGAGGCTTAATGGACTGAGCCACCCAGGTGCCCCTGGTCTGTTTTTTAGTTACACTACAGTGTAATTTTCTTTCTAGAAACACCTATAACTTCAACTCCAGAAAGTGGAAGATGTGTGCTGTGGGAGGCTCCTTTCAATTTTCTTTGGTATCTACTGTCTTCTCCCACTCAACCTATCAAGGACAGTCTCTGAACTATGCCCTACATATCACAGTTTTTAACTAACCTCTGAACTACCCACATTTTAACTACTGAACCATTGGAAAATGGAACAAGGGCCAAACCACCTAACAGCAGTGATTAAAGTAGAGTAGATAACCAGTTTCCAGTCATTCAAAAGTACATTGTAGTACTTGAACTATGCTCTTATTACATAGAATGATTCAGAGTTTGTGGATTTAAAGGTCAATAAGATGACTGTCCTGTCTCCACCTCTTTAAATGCACAAGGTTTCAAACACATACAGGATGGAAAATTAAAGTTTGGGGCATAGGAACTGCAGTGAAGAAGTCTGAGGGCTTGGGTTTCTGACTGGGGAATGGAGCCCTTAACATATCTGAGCCTGTCACATGTTCTAAGTGCTCTGTGTATATCACCTCCTCTAATTCTGTGAACTTTGTTTCGGATTCATTTGAATCTCTTGTATTTACTTCTTTTGAGATTTATTTGAACCCCCAAGTGTGGAGTTCTGTTGGCACTTGACCTTGGCATAAAATATTTGCTTAAGAAACACTATTTATTTTGGTAAAGTCTTTTAGAGCAGGCACTCTGCCATAACTTGGTATCTCCAGTACTGCTTACCATCTTGCCTTGTGAGAAAATAGTACTTGGTATATTTGGGACTGAAATCAATAAATAATAGATCCTATGTAGGCTGAGTTCTTCCATTCCTCTTTTGTCAGCAAGCTAATGAACAAATTTCCAGTGCAGGTTATACGAGCTTCACCTTCTACAGTATCACCTTTACTTATTTATTTTTTAATTGCTGATACAGATGCATCTGTAATAAATATTTGGTTTTTGTGATCAAATACAGTCTCAATTACAAGGCAACTTAGAAGTTAAAATATGAACAGTTTAACACCAGAAATGAAGCAAAATTCTCCATCTTTTTGCATGAGCCATTCAGAAAATATTTTTACACAGTGTAACAGCAAGGGCATCAACTTCATTATTTTCCAAATTTGTTTGGTTTATATGTTTTATTGAAATGGTTATTCTCTAAACATTCACACCATTCCATCGTTATCTTCTTCCACAAACATTTTTTCCTTCTACCTTTTAGTTATTTTACCATTTTGTTTGTTTCCCATTAAAGGATCAAATGTATTTGACTTGCAGTGTTAATGGAAATATGGCTTGAAACCTGTAGTGTCTCAAAACTGTATCTTAAGCCCAGAATTTGCCATGTCTGAACCCAAAAGCCAGACTCCAAGAGAAGTGCACTATCATTGCTAAGACTTGAACATCTTACCTCAGAATTTTCAATTCCTTAGAATTTCTCAGATTTTAGGTAGTTATCTGTGATTTTTTTTTTTTTTTGTAGATTTCCACTGTGAATAGATTTCCAAAATAATCTGGATATCCAACTGGTATTTGTCTTTTAATAACTAACAGGCTTAAATAATCTAAATCTCCATATCATGCAAAGGGGACCGATTCCTGCTTTCAAAGGCATAGGCAGGAAACCTTAGGTTCAAAGGTAGAAATAATGATAAGAACAAATTGCTTGTGATGGTACAGCCACAGCCTCCGTAGTGTACTTGTTTGGCTCAGGTACCGTAGGAATAAGAATTCTCAGAATCACATAGCAGAAGTGATATGTTATCACACTACCAGAAGAATAAAAAAGTAGAGTAAGGAAGGGAGTTAATATCTTACAATGAGGCAGTGTTAGTATAAGAAGCATTCCAAATATGCCAGCCTTCTTAAATTAATAGACATTCTTTACATTACTTCCTCAATGTCTCCTATTTCCCACCTTTTTTTTAAGAGGAAGATAAAACTCAGATTACAATTTTCACCCAGGGATCAACCCCTGTTTCTTAAAGAACCTTAGAAGGAAATGCATTTGCAATATCCGAGGGCTCTATTGTGAGAAACACAGACGTGAAAAAACAGAGAAATGGGGCAAAATCTCAGATCCACCATTTCTCTTTAAGCATCTGATTCCCATTTTAGAAACCATGCTGTCCTCTCCAAATTCCGCATGATTTTTTTCTTCCCTGCAACCTGCTGCCCTTTTAATAATAAATATTTTGCAATACCAACGGTGATCTGGTGACATCTGCACTGGGGTCCTTGCAGGGCGGTTTCAGGTCTCCCATTCTTGCCACATGATCAGACTAACAGAATAGTTGGTCCGTTTTGATTAACAGAACAGTCAAAAGGATTAAAAAGGCAAGTTCTTGTATTGGAGGCTGCCACTTCCTTTTCATTTTTCACACACCTTTTTTTTCCCCCCATGAATCAACCCTTCTGATGGTTATCCTGGTGAATCATTTCTGTTGTTTCCAGGAGGGTAACAGCTCAAATGTTAGCAGTCACTAATGCAGCCCTGTCCTGCCACCCACTAGTTATCCTCAGCAGCTCTTCCTTAAATATAATTCCCTTTCCTTCCAGCCCACACCTGGACTTCCTCAGAGGCTAGGCTGGGAAATTACCGAAATTCTGTGTCACCCTCTCAGGAGGGAATGGTAATGATGTACTTGCAATGCCATTAGGAAACGGTAATCCTTGATCTTTTTGATAATTTAAGGCTTAGAATTATCAAAAGTCCCAGGTTCATGTCCTTGTCCTAAAATGAAAAGAAATGGAGGAAGCTCCAAGTTTGGTATAATAGTAAACTTCTTTATACCACTCCTTGACATGTTACGGAATATGAAGAGAAAACCGATCTAAGCTCCCTTTCTAGTCATAGTCAGTCTTGAAATTCTGATTTCATATGTTCTCAGAAGAGAATGCAAGGATATGTCACATGATCTTTCAGCATCTCTGAACAAGCTCTTTTTCTCTAGAAGACTTCTGAGAACATTGTCAAATGACACATAGTGAATGTTTTCTTGCTCCAGAGATATCCAGCAGGAAAGTCCTTAGAGACCTCAGACTTGAGGGAAAGTCCACAATTGTTCCAGTATAGATTTCTGATATCTGTCAGTGACCCTCTGAACATGATTAAGGTGGAAAGTTTTTTGCAGTCCCTGGTCACACGTTTTGGATTCCTCTCTTAGTTCTCTTACTGTTCACTAGAAGTAGGGAGATTAGTAGTGGATAGAGTGGGAAAACTGGCACCGCCCGCTAGTTCAGCGCCTTGTGAAATTAACATCCAAACCTTACGGTAAATGAAATCAGGTCAGAAGAAACGTTACTTCCGTCTTTGAAATTTCTCAGAAGTGATATGCCCAGTACCTGGTGCAGCTAGGTGTAATATAAGGCTGTGGGTTCCCCTTGACTCTGAATAATCACAATAATCCAGTAGATTTGCAGAAATGCATAGAAAATTTATGAACACCACCTCATTTCCCCTTGACTATGGTGAATCAAAGTACTGATACAAAACATTTCCGGTGAGAAGTTTTAAGTGTGTTCAGTTCCCCTTTCCCCAACTTTTTCCACCACAGGTCCTGGCCAACAAACACACGGAGTTGGACCCCTGCTTTTCCCCACTCTGGTCTCAAGGCACCACGAGATGCCTTTTTGGAGATGAGCAGTTTACATCCTTTTTCTTGTTCAGTGTCCTAGAAAGAAAGCGCTCATTTCGATCCATTCCACGCAATGCTCACCGCTACTTAAATGACCGGTCGTCTGGTTCCAGGGGGTTGTGTGGCTGGTGACTGAGCTTCAATGACTAGAAGAGTCCTAAGATCCTGACTCCTAGGAAAGCACGGGAGTCAAGTCCACTCTAATTCAGACGGTTTGCAAGGCTCTGCTCTGGCTGGGGATCATGCCGGGTGTGGTTCTGCTTTGGTCAGGGTAGCATGGTAGACTTTCTTTGGTTCAGAACCTCTCCCCGCTGGCCCCACCAGGCTGTATGCATGGGTGGCCAGCCCCGGCTGGGGTGCTGCTTCTGTCGACAGCGTCCGCTGGCTGCGTGAGGCACTATTTGCTGTGGAGCGAGTGGAGGAAGAACCAGAGCGTGAGCTTCGAGAGCCTGAGGAAGAGGAGCTAGGTTTCACCAGGCGGGCTTTCGGGGCTTCCGCGTCTTCTCTGAGGAGGAAAAAAACCAGCAGAGGTAAACTTTAACACCGGCAAGACTATGATACACCTTCCACTACGGTTGCTTCCTTCTGAGGCTTCCCAATAAATTCCTCAAGCCGTAAACTTCACATTATACCACTGGAAGGCAGCCATTTAGGGGAAGAGGGACTTCCCCAGTCGCTGAGACTTAGCAGTTGACTTAGGCAAATGGATGTTTTGTTAGCCCTGAAGTCAACTCTATTACTCTGGGAGAGTACACGCTTACCATTGAGATTGATCTGGGGTTTGTCTACGCAAACCCTTTCACGGCCCATCAGTTATGCTCATTCCTTATTATAGGCCCTTCATAAGTGGACACGAATCCGAAGTAATGTAAGGTTGATCTTTTAATTACCAGTTGAGGATAGACCGTTTCACGATAAAGGCAAGGGAAACCAGACTTTCTGTCCCTAGGCTGGAACTCCTTGCCTACCAGAATAATCCTTTTAACAGATTCACAGTTAAGAGCAAATGGGACATTTATGTTCCCTGGTCACTACGGAGCTGGAAAGGAAGCCTAGGACAAGGGATTTTGGAGGGAGGTTTACCGAATTTCATTAGGTCTCTCTTCTTCCTCATATCTCTCTTTGTCTTTCCTTCGGATTAGCAGCCATACCAGGAGGAATGTCAGCAGGGCTCCAGCCACCATGCCTGTCACCGCTCCTGCAATCATGCCGATGCTTTGTACATCTATTTTCTCAGAAACAAAAGCAGAAGTAAAACCAAACATAAGCTAGGGAACGCATGAACTTAAAAACATAAGCCCTGGGGGTGCCTAGCTGGCTTACTCTTGATTTGAGGACTCTTGATCTTGGGGTCGTGAGTTTGAGCCCCATATAGGGGGTAGAGTTTACTTAAACAAACAAACAAACAAACCCATAAGTCCTGGACAGGATGGGTATTTCCAGATCTTTCTATCTTTTGGAGTTTCCCATTTACCCTTGATGTATGACTGTCCTTCTTGGTATTGAAAGGTGGCAGAATATGCCACCCCAAAATATGCCTCTTTGCTATTAGGACTGTTTTAACCTAATTTTTTTTTCTTAATGTTTATTTTTGAGAGAGAGAGAGAGAGAGAGAGAGAGAGAACAAGTGGGGGAGGGGCAGAGGCAGAGGGAGACACAGAATCCGAAGCAGGCTCCAGGCTCAGCACAGAGCCTGTCGCGGGGCTCAAACTCACCAACCACAAGACCATGACCTGAGCCAAAGTCGGACACTTAACCGACTGAGCCACCCAGGTGCCCCTAAGCTGATTTTTTTAAAGTAGGCTCCACACCCAGCGTGGTGCTTGAACTCACAACCCTGAGATCAAGAGTCAAGTCCTATGCTCTACTAACTGAGCCAGCCAGATGCCCCCTTAATCTGATTATTTTTGAGAAACAGCAGACACAGGAGAAGTTCTAAAAACAAAGCACAAGTTCCCCTTTTATAAGGGAAATTTACATTTATAGAGGAAATCTCCCTCCGGTCCCCTCCTGGACCTAACACATTTCTTTAGGGAGCTGACAGATTCACACGTTTGTAAATACAGTTAGCCACACCAGTTGAATGGTCACTGCAACTACCGAATTTATTTTCACGGTCATCATGTCCTCCCGGAAAGAAAGATTTTGGCCTTGACCTTACTCTTACTTGCGATGAAAGGTGCTGTACGCCAAACCATGACGCGACCACAGGAATAAACTGTTTGGATACTTACGCTGTACAGTCACTCGCACCACACAGCTTTCCTTCCCGGCCTCGTTGCCTGCTGTGCACTGGTAGAGCCCAGAGGAGGACATGGTGAGATTCTGCAGCAGAACGCGTCCAGGGTTATTGTAGTCTACATAAGCAGAAGGAACGACTGTAATCCCCTGAGTGACAGGGCCTCTGTATTGTTTGCTTCAGTGCATCATTGACCTAAGATTCTCTAACACAATTTGGTGAGGAGGAGATGGTAGATTTCTTGGAAGACGGAAAAGGCAAACATTCTTTTAACGTGTGCGTCCGCCAAGAGTTACAAAAGACTGTGAACGTGTAAGGGACACCAAACACAATCGTTTAGATACAATGGCTACGCAGTATATTTCTTCCTCATTTCTTCTGCCACTTTTAGGTGCCATTTGAGGAGGGAAAGGATGGATTTTTCTCTTTTCCTGTCCCGGTTGACGGATGAAAAGTAGGAGCTCAGGGAGATTTGGCCGTGCATTCAAGGTCACGTGGTGAGTTGCTGACAAACGGGATTTAGGATTCATGGCTAGAGGACCATTCTGTGGTCTCAGCAGACTGATGGGAAGGTGACTTACCAATCCTGGACCTGGGAGGGAGATGCTCATCCTCTCCCTCCTTCTCCCGAACTCGCTGCCAGTCATACACGATGGGCTTTGTGCCAGAGGCTGACTCACACTGCAGAGTCAGGTCACTTCCTTCCGTCAGCTCTCCTTCCAACTCACACTTGGGCTTTGATGGTCTCACTGGCAAAAAGAAAGAAGCTTCAAAGATGGCCACACACCAGACTCCATGGAAGAACTATGTCCTGTTGAGTTGTTTCTCTAGCTGGCCATCATCTGGTCAACTTTTGGGTGGGGATTCAGTAGCCTTTTGCTACCTAACTATGCTTTACACCACCCCCAGAAATACACACCCCCTCCATCCCGTGTGCGCGCGCGCGCACACACACACACACACACACAAACACACACACACAATTCTGGCTGCTTCCAGTGGTGCTGTTGTAATTTGCAGAGGCTCCCTCAGAAACCTCCTCATCACTTCTCAAAGAGGACACTGTTCTTTAATTAGAAATTTTAGGGGTGTCTGGGTGGCTCAGTCAGTTGAGCATCTGGCTTCAGCTCAGGTCATGATCTCACGGTTTTTGACTTCGAGCTTCGCGTCGGGCTCTGTGCTGACAGCTCAGAGCCTGGAGCCTGTTTTGGATTCTGTGTCTCCCTCTCTCTCTGCTCCTCCCCTGCTCATGGTCTGTCTGTCTCTCTCTCTCTCAAATAAACATTAAAAAAAAAATTTAAATAAAAAAAATAAAGAAGAAATTTTAGGAAAGTTGAGTGTGATTCTACTAATACTGAAACAGGGACAGAAGTCTGTTAACTCGGAAGCAATTAAATGGAACTCAGCAGCTCTCGCTGTCAGAAACCAGAAAGGGAGTTGAATCGTACCTGTGAGATTTAAGTTAAATACAAGAACACCACTTAAACGTCAAAGGAGATTTAAATTTTGTAACGCACTACCAGGGAAAATTGTGATTCTTCTTTCTCCTTTCATTACGTCTAAAATATAGAACATAAACTATAGAGCATACACACTTCTTTCCGGAAACTGGACTAGCTGATCTCTGCATGCATAATGCAGGGTATTGAAAAGTTTCATACCCCCATGATTCATTTGGCTATTCCTCACAGAGACCTTATTACTAAGATATAGGCGTTTACCTTGGTGCTGTCTTACCTAAGACTTTTAAGGTGACGTGGCTCCACACATAGCGCCCTGAATTCTTCACCTTGCAGGTGTACCGGCCCTCATCACTGGGCTTCAGAGGCTCAATCTGTAGGGAAGCATCTCCTGCCAGGAAATTGGAAGCAAAGGCCACTCGGCCCTTCTGTTCCTCAGTCAAGTTACTGTAGACATGATGACTGGAGTAAGTGATCACCTGTGGGACAGACCAAGGCAGGGTCAAGCAATGTGGCCCTCAGCCTTCCTCTCTTGCTGATGTCAAGATAAGGGATGAGAACACTCCTAATGGAACAATGCAGCCAAGACTGGGGCTGATTCTAAGGGTCCAAAAGACCTCTGTTCTAAATGAAGTTAAAAGCACAATATTTTTTCTAGGCCTTTCTCCTCCTTCCCAAAATAGCAACACTTCATATTTGTGCACGTTTTAATTACAGAGTAGCAACTGTTTCACTAAATTCTCAGAACCATT